GCTTAGTTTTCCCAGATTTTCTGTGGAATAAGGGGCCATATAGATGCTAATAATTCAGGATCGCACTTTAATAGTTCGGAATTGACGTTGTCACTGCCGGGTACCTTGTTGGTTTAAATAATTTTATGGCGGCAATAACTTCAGATCTTGTTGGTTGGTCCGAATTGACTTTTGACAGTAACGCAAGTTGCTTGATGGAGAGTTAAGTTCTATATCTTCTTGTAATCCTAAGGAGTTGTTGAGCACCTTATTAAAGTGTTCAGCCCATCTCTTGAGCTGCAACTCTGAGTTGGAGATAAATTTACCGTTCTTATCTTTAATAGGTTTGTTCTTGTAGTGACCTTTGCCGGAACGCACTCTTGTTACCTTGTAAAGATCCTTCATGTTACCCAAGTTATATACAGACTCAGCAATCCGTGCTTGATTTTCTGTCCGTTCTCTTTTATCATGTTTTACCGATTTCTTTATTGATGTGCAGAGTTGTTTATACATGCTTCGAATTTGCAGTTCGATGACCTCCATCGACCATTAATTCTCCCGCCTCCCGCCTGCTTTGTGTGATATTTATGTGGGAAAAGGGAGCCACCGATTACCAGATTAGCCTTGCAGCACATTTCGATAAGTCTGTTTCCATTGTCGTTTCGGGTACCCAGACCGTGACACCACATATATTTTTCTAAATGGATGTTTTCACAGCCAATCTGTGCGTTTAAATCTCCTAACATTAAGAGAATATCTCGTTTGAAGAATACGTATTTATATATCTTTCAAGTTAATCACAGAAATCGTTTTTACATTCATTATCTTGAAGTTCCTGTAGCAATCCAGGATTAAAGAAATAAATTTATCATTATATAATTATTTCATAGGGATCCTGCCAATACCAGTTGATTACTAAGGGGCGTACTAAAACACCAATTGGTTCGTTTGCTGATAGTCGGTTCCAGCATGTTCATGTTGACATTGTGTTTGTCTCAGGGGAAGCGTTATTGTTTGACTTGGTCGAGCGTTTCCATAGGACATTGAAAGCGGCCATCCGGTATTATTCCTTAAGCAATTAGACGCAGTATCTTCCACTTGTGCTGTTGGGATTGCGAAGGACACCGAAGCTAGATTTAAATGCTAGTCCTTCGGAGATGTTGTTTGAAAATCCTCTTAGTGTTCCGGGGCAGATGCTTTCGGACTTCAAGCAGAAATCGACTGATTTCATTTCGTCGCTGCGAAGGGCGTTAGCCCGTTGTTATCAATTGTTAGCACGTCTTTCTTCGAGTGGATCGTGCGCAAGCTCCACTTGAGCAGCCATATGCAGGTTCATTTGTGGTGCTCCGACGTAGTGAGAAAACGTCGGTCATTGTTTGCCATGGAAGAGCAGTAGCGGTTTCGAATGACAGATTGAAGGCGGCGTACTTGACTTGTGATGACGTTGGGTAGGTCGTTCCAGAAACGCGTCAGTGTTTCCAGTGTCACTGGCCGATCGCAAGCAGATCAGTCAGTGACTGCTTACAATCGCAAGCGTGAATCCCTTTCGCCGATTCCGAAAGTGACGCGGGCTGGTAGAGTAGTTCGTTTTCAGGCAAGGTTAGCGGAATTTCGAGAATAAGGCTGTGTGGTATCGATTCAGCTTTGTGTCGCGTTGTTGGTGGTACAGCATCGCTACAAGGGGTTACTGTGGCGACGCCAGTAGGCTATGAGTTTATTGAAATTGAAATGCAAAATTATATTTCAAATATTTTCAGCTTTTTAGCTTTGTTGAAGAAAACGTTTCGATTTCTTTCTGAAGAAATTTGAATAAAGTACGCTTACCGTTGTAAAATATTCGTATTTTTGTTGATAAACAACATTTGGAGTCCTTTGTTAAAGTTTTATATAATGCTTCATCTGTGATACTAGTTATTATGCAATCAATTAAATGATGTATATCAACATCCCTTCTTGTGGCTATTTTTTTTTAATTTTATACACGTATTCCAAATCAATTTCTATATCATTGTACTGCTGCTTATATGGTATTTACACTGGCCTCAAATGATTCATTTTGGTCAAAAATCAAAAAAGAGAAGTAAGTAACTCATTCTTGCATACAAAATCTCAAGTGCAAATGAGATCCATTGGGCCTCGTTCTGCATAAATGAGTGCCAACGAGATTAGAATGAGTTTTAAATATGTTCCAAATGCAAATGAATACATTGAACATACCCTAAATAAAAGTTTTTCATGGCATTTTGACAGTTTGAGAAAGCTGTTTTGGACATATTTACAAAAAAATGCAAACAAATGATTGATGGTTGCATTTCCTTAAAAACGATGCACCTCTTTTTGCAGCTTCTACTTCCCAAAAATAATATAATCGAAGCTAAAAATAAGTTATCAGTTTATATTGTAAGGTTTGAAGGTATATTTAACCTTCGTGTGAGATCTACGTCTTTTTTTAGTTTAGTTTTTGATGGTCCAGATCATCAAGTACATGTAGCATTTCAACCATTAGTCAACGTCTGGCTCTATTGATTATCTGTACTTCTTCAAAATTTCAAGTATACTTCTTCATAGAGAAATGGGTTGCTAATGCTGTCTTTTGATGACTACTCATGCTTATGAGTAGCAATTCTTGTCTTTAATTTGTTTTTTATTATACCAACATATACTTGTATATGTTCGGCTTGTCACGTTCATATGGAATTTTTTATATGATAATTTGTAAAATCTTATTTGTCCATTGGAATTTTTGTTAAGCTAAAAAAATGGTGATGTGATATATTTTTAGCTTTGTGTGCGTATCTTCATAATATAGCAATTTAGAAGAATCTAATTATAATAACAGAAAATTAGACAACACAACACAAACAAACAAATTAAAAACCATATCATTTCCAACTATGCCAATAAATTGCTAATTTCAAAATCAAAATAATAAAAACAGCTAAATAAACAGTTAAATAACTTAAATTGTGCTTTACTTTTTTATTTTAATTCAATTTAATTTTACTTATATATGTATATATTTAATTTAATTTAATTTTATTTTATTAGTAGTTACAATAAGTAAATCTTATTTATGTTAAGTATGCAACCTGCTATTTGCATATAAAATTTTTTATTTTGTATTTAACAATATGTCTTTTTTGAATCAGATATCACGGCGCCTAAGTTGAATTTATCAGCATGATCTTTAGGAAAGCAGGATGACAGATCTATCATTCTGTTTCAGTCTAGAGAAATTTGTCACATTAGCAAGAGGTCTAGCCAGCGAATTCACATGGTTTTCAAGATTTGAAATATGTTTCTGCCTTATTTTCTCGAACTCGACTCAAACCATCGGAACTTCCAAATCGTAATGTACGTTTTCATTTCTGACATACCAGGGTGAAGCAGTTATCATTTTTAAAATCTTTTCTTGAGGTCTTTTCAGGATTTCTACATTTGACGTACAAGTATTGCCAGATAACTGTAAGCCGTACATCGAGATTGGCTTAATAACTATATTGTATAACAAGACTTTATACTCTAAACATACGGGAGATTGATGTCCGATTAATCAGCGAAGGCTTATAGCCTTGAGCTTTATTTGAGTCCTCTTTGTTTCGATATGTTTCCGCCAAGTTAAGTGTTTGTCAATGTAAATGCCAAGGTGCGTCACTGTTTCTGTTCGCGGAACTACAATACTGACTTTATTTTTGAAATCTGTTGCGTCTTTAACGATATAAACCGAATGTATGACCATCCGTACGATGGCGAGTTTATTAAAGAACAAATAGGTTTAAGTGGCATATTTTTTTTGTGTGTTTTCAGGAACCCATATATTCCGGGTGGATTTGCTGTTTTTCTATTTTGTTATTTGATTAATAAAACGTTTTGTAACTATTGTATATTTTTTGTTTGTAAGGTTAACTTTGGATCCTCTCTGATTATTCTATATGTCATAATATCATTCACTATATTCTTTATTTCTTTGTCATAATGTTCTATATTTATTGCAACTGTTTTGTTGCCCTTATCAGATTTAAGTATTAAAACATATTTGTTCAGTTTCAAATACGTTCGCGATTGTTCCACTGTGCGTAATATGAATTTCTCTATAGGAGAATGTGTTATTTGGCTATTATACCTTTCAACCATACCAACAAGTTGTGTTTTCGCTAGTTCTTGCTCGTCTTTGTTAAGTGGAAAGCTTTTTTTTTAGAAAGAGTTAGGGAGAAATTGAAACCGAGAGAGAAAAGCCACTGCACTTTAGCTGGGAATTTTCAGCTTTGTCAGCTTTGTGTATGTTTAAAAATTTTATTAATTTCCGATAGTCGATATATCCGAAAATATAATATATAATTAAATAAAATATTAATTGTTTTTAAATATAAATAATAAATTATGGTTTTTTTTATTTCTATTTAAATGACCAATAATCCGTTAGAGAATTATAATGCTTTGTAATATTTTTGGTATCTGTTAGGCAGGGACTAACTTTTATCAGAGAAACTACCTTCACAACATATCCAAAAACTGTTTCTACTGGATCTCTTGTAAAAAAATGCCTTCTACAATCTGGATTGCATTACATGGTAGAAGACAAGAATCACATATTAGTCGTATAATGGTCTTCCACTAACATAACATGAGGACATGTTTATTATTTCTCATTGTAATTAAAAACAAATTGCTTAGCTTTTCTGTAAATATTATTTATTATAAATTTTCACCACCATATCTTTTCTTAAACTCATCATAAGCGATGGACAGTCAAATACAAAAGATAACTAATTAACATATGTATTTTAAAAATAGAATTTCATAAATAATTAAAAAATTTTACACAGAACATACTCTCAGAATGTTCGATCAGTAAGATGCTTAATTAAACTATATTAATATAATTTAGTTACTTATCATACAAACTTTTTATAAAGTATACATAGCTACTTAATTTAAATAATGATAAACGTAAAATAATGTACAAACAGACAGATAATTTTTAATATGTCACACACTTCTTATTAAATTAAAAAGCCGCTTCTAAATTTTAAATATGGTTCAAATTATGAATATGAAGAATTGTATGTAAACTCCATTTTTATTTTTAATTGCGCTTTTCGAACAACGTAAGAACTTTATTTTGATTGAAATTCAGCAGCATCCTGTTGCATTTTTTCCCTAAGACGTGTTATATCCTCATCTATTCGAACAAGTAGCCGCATTTTCTGTAAAAAGGAAATTATTGCAAAATTAAATAAACTTTTAAACTCTTAAAATTTGTGTACCAGAACAGTATCTCCGGGTGTTCTTTTCCACAGCCAATACATATATGCTGGAATATATAACATTGATGAAAGAGCCGTAAACCAACCAAATGCATGGGCCCACCAAGGATAACTATAATCTAAATATTTGATCGGAGTCCATTGTATGATATTGAAAAAGAACACACCCTACAAACATATTTTATTTTTTATAACAATATTAAAGATTTATTTATATCTAGCATTCAAACCAAGCAAATTAATGGTGTTGTGACACACCAACAAAATTTCCACCATGCCATCGGATAATATCCAATCATGTCTTTAATTCCGTCATAAAAGCGCTCAACACCATAGCACCAAGAAATTGAAATGCATTCAAAAAATATGAGCCAAAGCAAACAAAAACCGCTTACAGCGTATGAGTCCAGTATTTGAAAAACGTACATACCTCCCTAAAAATATTTGATGTAAAAAATGATGTAATATTTCTAAAAACAATTAACTGTTATTTCATTAAGATCACACCAAAAACAAGTTATAACTTGTCTGTGGTGATAATTACCTGTGAAATACAAGTCAGACCAACTAAATAACTCAGTGCGCATACTACAGCAATAAAAATTTCTTTTCGTTTGCGTAGAAGTTGTGGCCACTCATCTATAATAGCAGTTATAAATCCTTCCATTGTACAAAATTGTGAGTCCAAACCAATAAGTAGGAGCATGAAGAAAAACAAACATGACCACAGAGGTGAACCCGGTAATTGTAATACTGCCGAGGGGTAAACTAAAAATGCTAAGCCAGGACCTTTAAAAAGCAGTTAAATAAAGTTTCATTTATATAATTTCGTATAACCAAAAGATATATATTAATAATGTAAAAACAATAAATAAACAAAAACAAATGCTTATAAAGAGATTAAAAAGCATTTGCAAAATAGTTTTTAAATATATATACGTACATTTACTATACCAAATACATGCTTTAATAAAAAAAATAAAAATTATATCAAAAGAAGACACTGAAATCCTGGCGTAAACACCTAGTTATGGGTATTTATTAGACTAGCTCTAAGCATGGGTCTTACTTTTTATAAGTTTGCAAATGTTGTAAAAATGCGAAAAACGAAGGAAATTTAAAGAAATAATGAAACAATTTTCTGCAGCTGGTCGAGTTCAGCTAGACGTATGACAAACAGCTTGGACAATATTGTACTGAAATAATGTGTTTACGCAAATAATATTTAATTTTATTTTTTAAAACATCCTGTACTTTATTAAGACCCCCCAGAAAACTTCCATAATTAAGCAGGGTCCCGTATTAGATAGTGGTATTTCGATAAACTGAGTTTATGTGAGTTGTTCAATAAAGATATTCAAGGGTTAAAAATATTTTGAAAATATTTTTAATAAATCTATACCTACTGTAAATGAGTACTAATAAAAATAAAAGAAAATCATTTTCGGTAATGGTCGATAATCGGTAATGGTAACCACCTTAAAAAGTAATAGCATACAAGGAAAAGTGGTAATTGAGAGAAAGGATTTACTACCTCAAGCTTTCTGATATCTCATATTCAAATTTCTCTCTCTCTTTCCCTCGCTCTTTAAATATGAGAACCGAAATGTAGCTAATAGATAATCCAATATTTAGAGTATGTCCGTAAATAGACGTGTTTTAAAGTAAACATCAGTGCCTATATTATTTCTTAAATAGTATTTTACAGCAATGAAGTTTATCATAAAAAAATGATCCAGTGGAAAAATCAAGCTGTAGTAATTAATGACAATAAAATTTTTCTGGCGTATCTGAACTGGTCAAAATTTATCATCTGTGGTGTTTAAGAAGTATATTTGACTTAAGTGCTTATGTATATTAAAGAAACGGTTTTTTGGTTTAATCTCTGTCAAACTGTTACGCAAGTACGTGTGACTAAATTCGCGAACCCCCCGGGACCGAGTACACAAGGCAACGTGTCTGATTGCATTTCACATACGAAATGTTAGCGCAATCCTTGTCGTCCTTAATCCAAGTTATCGCACAGCCTTCACGTGGCACCCCTGGACAGCCACCTTGCATCCGCTGTGTAATGAACTAGTAGGATGCAAATATACCTCGGAACTGGAAACCGATTAACTTTGACGACAAATGAAAACGCTTAAAGGACAATGATTTACGGGTATGTACCTAAAATATCCGGACCCTTTAAAAGAAAAGTGCCTATATCTAACTAGCGGAAGCCCTCAATAAATGTAAGGATGACGTTACCGCGATCCAAGAAATGCGTAGACAGGACAAGGCCGCTCTAATAGAGCAAACTGTTATATTAACTACAGCCGCCATGCGAAATTCAGTCTCCATGAAACAACAACGGTCTAAAACTAATTAATTTCTCTGTGGCGCGCAACTTGGTAATATGTAGCACCAGATTCCAACAGCATGATATTTATAAAGGAACCTGTCTATCTTCCGATCAATCAACACGAAACCAGATTGATCACTTAGTGATTGATGCAAGCCACGCTTCAAGTGTGCTGGACATACGTTAATTCCGTGGTCCAAATATCAACACAGACCACTACCTTTTCGCAGCAAGATACGCATGCGGTTTAGTACGTATGCTTCCATGCACAGAAAAAGCTTGACGTTGATAAGCTACGATCACAAGAGACAGCCGAAGTTTTTGCCGCTCAACACTCCAACCGATTAACCAAGAAACCCTCCCGTCGTGATAACGACTATAGACAATAGGAACATATCTCTCACTTCCTACGCACAACTACGGAAGATATTCTTGGTGTCCAACGTTACCCGCGACGAAACCAATGGTACGACAATGCACGTTGCCAAACTACTGCTGCGAAGAACGCCACCTATAAAAGGACCATGCACTCAGTAGCTACGAGAACAGTTCGTGAAAAATATCTAGAGATGAGAAAGGTAGAGAAGCGCCTATTCAGTTGGAAGAAATGAGATGAAGAACGGCGCAAACGAGAGGAAATTGAGATATGTGGAAAGAGGCATCTGATTCTAACAAAAGATCAACTGTCAGACTCAAGGCTTTAAGTCCGAAGCATCTCCCTGTAAGGACGAAAATGGATACAGCATCTCCCTGTTTACGGATACATATAGTCTACTGAAAGTATGGAAGGGACATTTCTCCAAACGACTATCTGGCGATGATAGTTATGATAATGATGTTGAAATTCCACCACCTAACTATAACGACGTGCGTGTTGCTATGCAGCGTAATGCTACAGCTGCCTTTGCTCTTGTCGAAAAGGAATCTGCAAGAATGGGCTTACCGATGAATAAGGGCAAAACGAAGTATATTTCGGTAACTGGTAAAAATGTGCGTCGCTCATACTAATGGCTGGCGACTATACTTTTGAATCTATCAAGAATTTCATCTACCTTGGTACCGACATAACGAACAAGAATGATGTCAGCCTGGAGATCAGACGAAGAATCGACATTGCTTACGCTCTGTAGGTGTTTTATTCTTCCTGTGTTTCCTGTATGGCGCAGAAGCATGGACGTTATCACAAAATGATCTTCATAAGATCTTGGGTTCTTAACGAGTTAGCGACAACTACTGCATACAAATGAACCACTAGCTGTACGAGCAGGCTACATAATGTCGTGAAAATGGATGAAGATGCTCCAGCGGAAAAGGTGTTTGAAGCAGTAGTTGGAGGAAGAAGCCGTAGTGGTAAACTATGTATCCGGTGGGGTGATCAAGTTGAAGGAGCACTAATTGAACATGATGTATAAAACTAAAGAAGGCACGCATGCAGCAGAGGTACTTGGAAAGACATGCTGGGTCAGGTCGAACTCAGTAACGGGTTGTTGTGCCCAAATAAGTAAGTAAGTAATTTAATAAAGCTAGTTTATGTGTTTTCAAAGCGGAAACAAATGTTTAATCATTTCTAATATAAACTTACCTGATGCTGCAACTTCAGCGACAGGTCTTTGCTGTTCATGAGCCATAAATCCGATTACAGAAAATATAACAAACCCAGCAAACATACTAGTACTTGAGTTAACTGAACATACTATCAACGCATCTCTAAATAAAAATAACTGAGTTATTTTACTACATTATATATATTTAAAGAAAATGCTTACTTATAAACATTGTTTGTAAATTTATTATAGCTTCCTAGAGCAACTAATGTGCCTAAGCCAAGGCCATAAGAAAAGAATATTTGTGTTACAGCATCAATCCAGACCTAAAATAAAACTAAGTATACAAATTATTTCTTCATATGTAAAATAAGTTACCTCTGATTCAGTTAATTTGGAAAAGTTTGGTATAACATAAAATTTAATGCCCTCAAGTGCTCCAGGTAAAGTAATACCACGTATTAGTAAAACTGTCAGCAATACATAAGGAAATAGTGCAGTAAAATAAACAACTTTTCCAGTCCACTTCACACCTTTCCAAATGCAAAAGTAGCACATGATCCAAACTAGCAGAAGTGTGCCAGCTAGTTCCCATCTAATATTACCAATATGTTCTATACCATCAGAGATCTGTAAAGCACGGCGTCTAAATATAGATGATAGGATTAACAAGATATTTTACTATTAAGTAAAATATTACATATCTTTGTTTTTCTTATATCTTAGAATTGATACGATCGATAATATGTAACATATCAGTAGAATATGTAATGCATTAAAACAATAATGTATGTTATTATTAACTAAAAAAAAAGATGGCAAATAAATTACTTTTGATTTTTATGACAAATACTCAATACTATTGGATATTTTGGAATATAATGCCGTTTGTTTTTTGGTAAAAATAAATACATTAAAAATGTTTCTAAGTATTATAGACAAGTTTTTAACAAGTAGTAAAACAATTAACTTCGGTTTTGACTTCATATCCATATATTACAAGACAATACTGACTACCTGAAGTATGTAGAAAAAAAATCAATGTGCAAGTAGATAAAATGCAATCAGAAACGATTATTAAACATACTATCCTTCATAGAATTCCCCCATAAAAAAATGGATAAAAAAGTAACAGAACATAGCATACACCTTTAGGTTTAAAATGCATGAATTAAAAACCCGATAGAAACTAGTATAAAACAAAATAACTTTGAAGAAAACAGGGAAGTTTGAAGAGCACCACAAATTGAAACTTAGACAATATAGAAACATTTCACAAATTCTAAAATGCTTAAAATTAAAAACCCGATACAAACTAGGTAGTAAATACAAAATAAGTTTGAAGAAAACTGGGAAAGTCTTGAAAGAGGACCACAAATTTGAAACTTATAGCAATGTAGAAAGATTTCGCACAAATTCTAATGACATAATACTGGTTCTGAAACAACTTCACGATTCATCTATTGCTGGTCATGAGGGCTTCATTAAGACATATTTCTGACATATCCTATTTTTATTTTTTAGTAAAATTTAAAACTGAATTTATAATAATATATAAAATATGAAAATGTTCCCTATACATTTGGAGCACATTCTTTTTTTGAAATTTATTGGTTGATATTGGTGCTTAAATATAAACAACATAAATATATAAAAGAGCTGATAAAGACAACAAAACAAAAGTTTTTAAACTTAACAAAAAAAAATGAACTAAAAAAGTGTTATAAAACAATAAAACCAATTACACAAAATACAATCGTAAATTGTAATTGCCCAATATTAATACAAGATATTTTGTAAAAAAATTTAAAGTGAAGTTTTTGCATCAATATTTATTTGTATTATATTTAAAGTATAAATTAAACAAAATTGAAAGTGAGATACGGCATATATATATGTTAAGAAACTTCATTCAATAATTTAACCGAATTGCAAAATGCAAACAAAGCAAATGATAAAATAAAGTCGAAAACAATCATCAACGATGCCAACAACAAAAAACTAATCCCTAACGTGGTCTCTCTAAAAACACAAATTCTTACTCGACAAGCACTAATTAAGCAAATTAGTGAAAAAGAGTTCCCTCTCACTTAAACATTATTATCTGGCAACATATCATCAACATATTCCAACTTCTACCTACCACACAAGCAACAAATACTATTACAATGTCAACAGCAGCATTTACAAGTCTCTCTATCATAAGCGCGGTGCAGACTATCATACTGGTGTGTCATACGAGTTGCGCTCTCTCTTGCTCAAATTTCTTCTAGCGACCGAATTTGAACAGGTATGACACACAAGAGTAGGCAAAATTTTTGAAGAGTGCTTTTGTGGGTAGTGATGTGAAAATTTGTGTGTTTAAAATAAAATTTTAAAATTGAAAAAATTGATAGTTAACGTATAGGTTGTGCTTTGCTTATAATTGATTATAATTTTGTATATTTTATATATGCCGCGTTTTTTTTGCGGCTTTGGACATCCCACAAACAGCGATTACTTTTGTTAACATTCGATGAAAGCATCTAAAAATGCTTTATCTGCATCCATATTCATATTTTTTTAGGTTTATTGGTCATTAAGCACAGTAGTTAAAATGAAAAGATCAGTAAAGGACCGTAGTTAATTTCATTCACTACCTGTAAAGTTTCTTAAGAAATTTTTCATAAATAGATCATACAAATAATGTATATATATATATACATAAGAATGTATATATCTTCATTGTTTTTCAAGAAATTTGATCATTTCCATATTTTTGTTAGTTAAAGGTTATTAACATTTAAAATTCTTTTATTTTAATAACAAGTTTTAACAAAGAAAAGCATATTTAGAATACAAAGTATTATATCTTAAATTTAGGTTATTAATTAATTGTTATTACGACCAATTTTCAATATGTTTTTTTATTACTGGGCTTAGATCATAAATTTAACGATGTTTATATTTAGATGTTTTTTTAAAAAAAATTTTACTTATAATCATCGTTTATAAATAAATAAAATAAAATAAAATAAAATATTTAATAAACTAAATAAAATATTTAATATATTACATAAAATATTTAATTGTATTTTAATTTTTTATAAGAATTTTATGTAAAAATTTATATTTTTTTTAACTAAGATACAATTAAATATTTAACACAAATTTATAAGTGTAATTTTAATAATAATAAATAATAATAATAATAAATACATTAATAATAAAATAATACAAAACGTATTAAATTTATATTAAAATTTTACATATATCACCTGCTTACAATAAATTTGTAAGGTGAAAATGCTCTCGTATGACGTATGAATCTTTTGGGGTGACGAGAGCTGTTCACCAAAATTTTGGTGAGCACGCCAACACGTTGGTAAAGGTGGCAGACTATCATACCTGTGTGTCATACGACGTTTTCCTCTCTCGTATGACATACCAGTACGATAGTCTGCACCGCGCTATAAGCTCATCGCATTTTACACCAACTACATATTTAACTATATTCTGCGCTAGCAACTCGCCAACAGTATTGTTTAACATCAATGAACAAGCAAGCATTGCTCTAAATAACACAAATAATCAAACCAAAAAACAAAAATCTCAGAAAAATAAAACTGAAAATAAACAAAATAAAACAAAACAACAATTTCCACTAAATTACTGGCTTAATAAGTCTAACAATAATACTAACTCAAGTGTGAACAAGTTTGAATTGTTATCAAATAATCAAAATCAGGCACGGAACGCTATGTCAATATTAAACAAAAACTCAGTCCTCAAAAAGGCAATTTAAGAGGTTCTAAAATAAATAAAACAAACAAAAGTAGAACATCCACAAACATAGCTCTGCAGAAAGATACCTTGCGTAATCCTACAAGAAGTACCTCTATTAAATTAGTTGAAGTCATTAGTTCACACGTACATACAAATTACAAAATAAAGTTAAAGTCTGATATTGAGGTCGCAATCTCGGATTTAAATTCAATTCTGATTTTAGCAGCAGAAAACTCCATCCTTAAAGACAATAAAATGTACGCATCCATCAAAGTACTTACAAATAGTGACACAGAAAATTTAGTTTTACAAAAACGTAGGTTAAGGCGTGAATGGCAAAAAATTAGGTCCCTTAAGCGGAAAACTTATTCAAGAAATAAATAACTTATAATAAGGAATAAGTTTCCCAAAGCAAACTTAGATTTTCCTGCATTATGCAGGGAAACTAAAGTCAAAATATAATTATATTGAAAACCTTTGTACAAATGGCAAAAAACGTTATCATTATGGATTGCTAGCAAAAGTATAAATTCACCCATAAAATTCTATTCTCCAATAAGAAATTTTCTTGGAAACTGTGATAACATCTCACCCAACAGAGTGGAAAACATCCATAATTATTTTGATTCATAAATCGAGTAAAGATCCCATGCTTGCCTCTTAATATAGGCCAATTAAGAGGCTGCCATCCCTTTTTAAACTCTTTGAAAGAACGCTGCTTTTAAAGCTGAAACCATTCCTTGGCGGTCAAAACCTAGTACCCTCCCACCAGTTTGGTTTTAGGGAAAAACACGAACTATTGAGCAAGTGAATCGTATAACGAACGCATTTGAGCTCAGAAAATATTGTTCCGCGCTATTTCTCGATGGTAAACAAGCATTTGACAACGTATGCCATAATGGGCTTATATATAAGATACGCTGATTATTACCTGTAAATATCCACTCAGTTCTAGAATCGTATCTGCATAACATATACATATACTTCTAATAACTTCGCAATAGTCGCTGGTGTTCCACAAGGAAGTGTTCTTGACACTATGTTGTAAGCACTTTATACATCTGATATCTCATTAAGTAGTTCAGTTCCGTAAGTAGTTTGCAATGATACGGAAATTTTATGCGGAATAAAAACGTTGTGTTAGCTTCAAACCTACTTCAATCTCACTTATTTTGGGTGGAGAAATGGTCAAAATGAAGAATTAAAAGTGATGAACTAAAATATAGACACATCATTTTTACCTTAAATCGGAATATATTTCAAAACATTTTACTACATTAATAATATAATGTACTTAGGTATTCACCTAGACAGATGACTAACTTGGCGCAAACATATCGAAGCCAAAAAAATTCGTTTGACTAGCAGCGCTCGGATATCGTGAAACATTATTGTAAATTATTGATAATAAAAATAAGTTTAATCTAGGATTATGTCAATTCAGAAAACCGAAAGCTGCGGCGCTTGGTCCAAGAATGTCAGTTAGGCAACTTAAAACCTTCTCAGCTACTCACAGCCATGCACAACTTGGCTAGCGGTGAAATGAAAGACAGCGCTATCAAACAACTGTGGCTAGATCGACTACCTGAAACTGTTCAGGCTGTAGTCTAAATTGCAGATGTCGAACTAGATAAGTGTGCACAGCAGGGGGATTTGATGCTTGAGATAGGCAACCATCATGTAGTTTCGGGAGTGCAAGCAAAAACAAACAATGTAACAGTGTGTAACACACCATTCGACATTATTTCATTGATTGCAACAGTCGAAAAGTTAAGCAATAGACTAAATGCAATGGAATTGGATGAAACCATTGCCGCTTACGATCAAGAGCAGTTAGACCTACGCGTCGTAATTAAACCCCTTTCAGATCTGCAAACCGAGTTGTGAGGTATCCAACATCGAACACTCGGAAATGTGCGCCACCATGCCATTTCACAACAGCGGGAAACTAAAAATCAAGTCTCCGGTGGTTGACGAAGCATCTAAACCATACAAATCCTACCGATTTTTTATAATCGATGCACTTATATGACTAAAATTTTTAATATACACAGGAGTAGTTTTTTCCATTTTACCGGTTTCGTTCATTGATAAACACAAAATGCCAGTTTCGTCAAAGTCTCTTTACGCAGAAAATGGTAATAAGCAACAACTAAATTTATTTTAAAAACAGCTATAATATTTGCCTAAACTAATTTTCGTTTTCTATTTTTTCTTTCTTTTCTTTTGAACATCAATATCAATGTCACAAAACTATCTTTATTTTTTTATTAATGACTTCATTCATTTTACGCATTTTGTCTTTTATTAATATACATAAGAAACTTTTGTTTTGTGTAAAGCAACCATTTACAAAATTTGCAGGGTGAATTAATCATTTGCAATTTTTTTGTAAAGTTTTGCAGTTTACTTTTGCAAAACGTAAAGTGAAAAGTGTTGGTGCAACAGAAAAACCCCAAAAAGTGGTTTTTGCCAAATGTTTCACTTTACTTTTCATACTTTACTTTTCGTTGAAAAGTACATTGGTGCAACGCTTTGCATTTACTGAGTGTTTTAAAAACTGTGCATGACTCAATTCTAAAATTAAGGCTTTGTCGTCTCAATGACTTATATTCTCAACAGCTTCCAAAATGCAAAGTAAAAGTGTTGGTGCAATAGGGCCCAGGTGAGTTTTTCGAAAGTTCCAGTAAAGACATGTCCAATTCAGAATTAGTACAATCACTACGAGATGTAATGGAGCAACTAAGGCAAGTACCTACGGCAAACCACTCCATATCAAAAACCTTTGTACAACCGGACCTTAAAAAATGTACTCTTGTTTATCTACGCGATGACACTGTTCAACTACCTCTCAAAGCACCTTACGAAGGTGTTCAACATTTAAGGTAAGCAATCACGACAATAAGCTGCTGACCATTCTACGGAAAGACAAGCCAGTACGTGTAAGTATAGATCGGGTCAAAGCAATAACAGAGCAATAAACAGATCAACAGCAGGCAGTAGAACAGTCTTTTGCATATCGAAAAGCAGACGAACATAACCAAAAATATCCAACAAAACAAACTAAAACATTTTCTTGCGATAGGCGAATTCGGTTACCAGTTTGATTTGCTGAGAATGCTTAAGACGATCAATAGCATAAGATCGTGGCATTGCTTCGCTCAGTCACTGGAGAGGTAGTGATGTGGCGCACGAGCATTTCAACTGCAAACGCAATTTCAGCTTGAAGATCTCGTTTAAAAAGTATACTTAACATAAGGCGTGCTTAGCAATGACGCAATCTCTACTTTACATTTATTCATTCGTTCATTCTTCGTTTGACTAGCAGCGTTCGGACATCGTGAAACATTGTTGGGAATTATTGATAAAAAAAATAAGTTTAAGGTAATATAAAAATTGTGTTTTACTTCGCAGAATTATCTCCATATGTTAGTTGCATTGGCTCATTAATAACAGATCCTCCCTGTGCCTAGAGTATAAAGTACTCTTGTATAAAAGCATCATAAAACCAATATGGACTTATGGTATCTAGCTGGTATCTTGCACTAATGGATAGATTCCCACCTATTCCCGCCTAAAAAAAGCTAACCCTCCAGCCATTAATTAATATTCAATAACTTGAAGTAAAAACTGCAACTTTCTTTTTAGTAATCTGATAAAGTTTAACTGCTTTCTTAATAAATTATTATTTCTTAATAATTATTATTTGATTTTTCAGAATATTCAGTACTAAGCATATGAAATATTATTTCGTGGAGCTTCAATCGTGAACTGAGATTAAACCAGCAATTTTCACATAGACTTTCACATAGACTTACTTATTTAGCTCTAAGTTCCCCTGTTGGCTGTCGTTTTAGGTTTATTCGTTAACTTGAAATTGAATGCTTGGAATCATATTTGCTATATAAATGAGAACGGCAAAAATTTTTGAACTTTAAGTTTGTACCATACCATTCGTCTTCCAGTGTTTTCTAAATGGTTTAATGAATATCAACTAAATAGGGTAAAGTTATGTATGAATAATTTTATGTTGCCTTCATTGCAATAGGTGTCGAAGAGTTTAGAATACGAAAACTGAGATCGAAGGAAGCAGAGGGCTCTACGGAACATGTTGCCAATAGGATGACTATCTACGTAGAATGCAACTGGACATTGCTTAGAGTACATTTGGGTCTGATTTTTAAAAGAACAGGCAGGCAAATATTGATGGTATCCATTTTATTTTCACACCAACCTATGGGGACTTTAATCTTGTGGCCTCCAACTTTTATTCAGTAAGCGAGAGTAATGTTGGTTCAATGTGCGATGTTAAGTTTTGTACCAGTGCATTATGTGGGCACAATAAAAAGACTAAAATATTGTAGTTTGTCCCTTAACATATAGTGCATTTAGTACTATATTGTTTACAGTCATGAATGTTGTCAATAATAGGAATTCCTCATGTGGAAGATCAGAGATCTACAATGAGTATTCAACACTCGTATCATTAGTAGTGTTTCATTTATATGTATTCTGACTCTCTTTTTCACATATTCGACTCCACCTGATTCATTTATACTCTGCTCATATGATACTCATAACAACGACATTCGACACAAGAGTGATGAATTTGATTTTTAAATCATTCATAAGTATTACATCGCAATCGGAAAAAATTTGCTTAGTACATATAAAATTTATTGCATATAAAATATTCAAAAACACAAATAAAAGACAAGCATTTACAATGCTAACAACAACAACAACACACACACCAAAAGCACAAAACTCAACACAGAAAATTTTTGAGTAGCAAACATCGCTCAAACAAAATTTTTACGAATATTGCAACCGATCGAGTCATTAATTTTTGATGAGTATATTCATACTCACCTGAATATATGCTATGATTCATGAATCTTACTTATTCTTGTGAAGCTGATTCATTAGCATCAGCATTCGTCAACGAACATACTTATGATTCACTTCTGTAGCGAATGTTAATGCATGTACATAAGTACTATATGAGAGAAATATTTGTACACAGTTAGATTTGGGTTTTTATGAGTGCACTCTGAGTGTTAAAATTACGACTCGTTGCAGTTCTCTGGTACGGATACGATATTGTCGATACGCTACTGTCGATAAAAAATATCTGTAAACCGAATTATTTTTGCTTTTAAAAGAAAGTGTGAATCTCTTTATTTTTCTAATTTTCGCTTTTTTTGAAAATGGATTGCATATTGAATGGGGAGGCTCACTTTTTTTTGTAATATATAATATACTATATATGAAGTGATTATGATTAAAATATTTCAAAACAGTACGAATGCAAGCAAAGAAGTTCATAAGTTATTGCAAATATGTTCAGATAATTATATTGAATGCATTCAACAAATAAAATATTTTTTTACTCGTACCCAGACTGTTTTTATGCCAGTTTGTTTTTTACAAGAGACCATATGCCTTTCATGCATTGAAAAATGTGGATTTGTGAATAAACTTGGGCATATGTCGCTATATTGTGTCAGTTAGTCACACTGAGATTCTAAAAAAACTTAAAGATCGTAAAATATGATTCTATAAACTCATGTACTGACAGTTTCATAAAACTATCGTATCAACATATTTTCGGAACTTAATAATAAATGATGACTTAATTCGTATTTTCGTTTCATTGAAATTGTAATTTAAATTAAGTTTATAGACTGCTTTTCCAATGATTTAATTTATAACTGAATACTCACTCCCAAAACTCTTTAACTGGATCTGTAAGGTCAGACGCAGACACATTTGTAGCCGCTAAGGAACAAATCTTTTTTGTTGTGCCATTTATAAATTTCTCCCAACACATTAAATCCTTTCGTTCGTATGGATTTACACAATTTAAAGTATTCCAGTAATTATTACAAGTTCTCCATGGAACATCTGTTTTAAAATATTATTTAGAAACAAAACAACACCTTTTTTTTAACTAACCGGCTCGCATAGACATAAAGAAGTAAAATACAGCCCAAGCTAAAATTACAATATAGTAGACATTCATCCAACATGACATCACAGCTGCCGCATAACCAATGCCTTTTAAAAAACACTAGCTATTTTAACTGTTTCTAATTTAATTTATTATGAAAGAATATACATACCTTTAAAAATTGGTGCAATTTTGAAAACTCCAAGTCCACCTATTGTTAACATTTGGCCTAACGCAAGCTCCATAAAAAACATAGGAATACCTGCCAATATCAGTGTCATAAAATATGGAATTAGAAATGCACCACCACCATTTTTGTAACACAAATATGGAAAACGCCATACATTCCCCAATCCGATAGCAAGGCCAACAACTGAAAGTATAAAGTCTAGTTTTGATGACCACGAACCACGTTCAGGTAGATTATCCAATTTAACGACCTTTCGAGAAAAAAATAGAGTTAAAACTTATAAAATATACTTTTTTACTAAAATTTCAACATATACTTAACGTATATTAGTAGAAATACATATGACACAGGATATACTAAACTCAAACACTCTCAATGAATTAAGAAAACATATATAAGAATTTGATTTTAACATAGTTATGACGATAATGAATATAATAGTTTCTCAATGGAAACTATTATATTTAGTAAAGAGATTTCGAACAAAAGTAAATTGTAAGAACAAAATTTTTATTTGTTTTTGTTTAATTGAATTTAAATTAATTGACACAAAAGAAGTAATATAATATCATCCAATAAATAACACCTCTACAAAAAAATAGGTTAGTACTATTTACCAATAAGAGTTTTATGTTACAATCATACCATAACCATAGGGTTAGAATACCATAGGGTCACCCAATGGATTATAACTGGTTGGATTATAACAAATTATGACTGAGTTTCACTTGCAACATCCGACCGCAAGGTGTAAATCTGGTAGCATGGAGGTCAGATTCCACAGCATCGGCTTTTCACACTAATAGAGGTTGGGTCATTAATGAGATTATAGTGGTGGATGCGGTTATAAATCAAATTTACTTGGGTAAAATGACTATATTCATTTACTTACATTTGATGTGGAGTGGCATTTTCCAACAGGGTGCCAATTTCAATTTCTAGTAACAGAATTGGTTGGAATTTCGATGGGGTTTTATTAATCTTTCCTGACGCAATGACACTCTGATAAGGGTGACTGTTATTTTACTCATTACTGTTGAACTGCAGATCGTTCCAGTCCATATTGAAAAGTTAAAAAAAACACCCGAACAGTTATTTTTATTTGCAAGCACAGTTTTTAATTTGTTTGTCATGTAGTTTACTTGTTCTATTATTCCATGTTTTTTGCAAAACTTAAATTGGGATAATTTAATTATGTTTAATATATGGCTGTGTCTTTTCAAGCACTATTTTTTCAAATAGATTTGAAGTCGAGGGCAGTAAACTGATTGGTCTGCATAAAGTTGGTAAAGTTTTACCTTCGCCACTTTTAGCAAGTATTATTGTTTCCGAAACTTCTAAAGGTTACGAAAGTATTCCATATGTAAAATAGCGTTGAATCAGTTCGATAATATTATAACACCAATGTATAGTAATTACTTTATCGCCATCATTGTTATTAAATTATATCCTTATATCTTTACCTTTACCTTTCACCTTTACTTCAGGTCTCTTCATCTTTTCCTACCCGTAATAATTCAATGAATTCTTTTAGAATTTTAATGTTTCTCTTTCACATAATGGTTAGTTGCAAAAATAATATCAAGATCTTCGACGGCATCTTTTTTGAAATAGCTTCAACAGAAAGCTTCACGAAGAGTGGCTATAACTACATCATAAATAGGATCTAGAATGATGCATCTATGTATTTTGCTTGGTATAGGAAGTAATGTGATGCCACGGTAGTTATTGCAATCTTTAGCATCACTTTTCTTCACAACTATACCATCATTCCACGAGGTGGGCAGTGTTTCTTTATTTCAGATTTTTTGTATAAACGGGTGCCACAATGAGGTTGATTTCTCTACGTCACACAGGAGCATTTCTGCGCATTTCTGTCATTGCCGGGAGCCTTGTTGCGTTAAAGTGCTTTTATAGCGTTTTTTTACCTCATTTCTTGTTGGCGGTGAAAGAATGTAATATCACAATTTGCCAAATATGTGTATCTGTTGGTGCTGTTAGCTCGATTCGGTTGTTAAGAGTCGAATTAAAATGCTCCATCCATCGAATTTCATTATTAAATATTTCTAAATACGTAAAGTTCAAATTAAATTGAGTTTTGTACAATACTTCACATTGATAAAAATTAATTGATGCTTTTCCGAATACCGATAATAGTATCATACCTGATACATTGATTGTTCCTTAACTAAATAATATTAAACAAATATACATAAAATATTATCACTTAACCGAATAATAGCGAGGCTACTTTTTATTTTTAATTACAAATTTCTGTTAACTGCAATTATAGCTCATTTTATTGGCTATTATTTTTTTTTTTTGGCTTTTAGAAGTATAAGCATATTATAAAAAATAAAGACACTGATGTCGTGCCTTTGTCGAAGATGCGGTAGACGTGGAAAATAGTTGCTGTTAAATTTATCCCTATGCTATTTACGAAGGTCGCTATTTATATTTTGAGCCTAATAAGGAAAAAAATACTAACTTATTGTTGAAAATTGCTTTATTGTTCTTGAACTATTCTCCTTTATGATTAATACACTTTTGCACTCGTTCGAAACATTTGTCAAAGCATTTTTTCCAATCTTCTTCAGACACCTCTAAAACATGGTTTTTAAATGCAACAACGGCTTGATATTTGAGTACCCAAATTGTTTTGATGGTGAATGATCCGACGGGAATTATTTGTTTTCCGAATTTCACTGAACAAATAGTAATATACCATTCGGAAATGACCGTTTTATGTTCCTGTAATGGTATAATTGGTGCGCCATATGACCAGTTTTTTCCTAAAAAACAAGCGACTATTTGCTTCGAAATGTTTCGAGCGCAAACAACTTTTGTTGGATTTGATTCAATTTGAAACACCCTATAGTCGACTGCTATTTACGTTCCGGCTCATACGCAGATACCCAAGATTCGTCACCTGTTACAATCTTATAGTATGCAAGCACTGGCATTGCACTTCTTGAGCATTTGTGTGCACCAAGCGACACAAGCATCTTTTTGAGATTTTGTCATATAACGGGGAATCCAATGAGAACAAAGCTTTCTCACGGCTAAATGATCAAGCATGATCATGATTTTGTATATGACGGTGGAACTAATGCATAGAGTTTCCTCAATCACAAGTATGTCGCATGACAGTCTTGCATTATCAGTTTTTGCAGAGCATCAATGTTTTCTGGCACAACAACTGATTATAAACGAATTAATTGTTCATGAATTACGTCAGTGAGCGAACTCGTCTTGATAATCTACGTCAAAAGTCGTAATAAATTATCGTACGAATATTTTCTTGCGTTGATTCTATTTTTTCGCGAACACGCAATTTACAAATCATTGTAAATAACACAAATAATGCTCTTTTGACAAATAGTCTAAAATAGGTCATGTTAAATAATGTCAAACATTCGTATGGAAATGTCAGATAACACCTGACAGCAGACAGTGTTGCCAAGACTGAAAATATAAATAATGACCCCCGTAACACCGGATGTTGAGCAATTGCTTGAAGTTAACCGCAATAAAAAACAATTTTGAAAACAAACTATTTGTTGTTTCGGCGTAAACATTGGATCGACTTCAGCCAATAGCTATTTACTTTGATCGAGACGTTTACTCGAGTAGCTTTTTTAACTGTTATTTTGATTACTTAAAGGGATCAACAAGTAGTTTGTGCAGCAGTATCCAGAATCTCAAGGAACTATGGAATTTGGTCGTGATGTTAATAACGTAACATTTTAAAGTAAATCATTAACAACAGTTTCGGCGAAACTTTTTCAAAAATTATTTCGAACTGCATTTTTAATATTGGCAATTTTTAAAAAATTTTCGCAAATAAAAACTAAATAAATAGAATATTTGGTCATCATAGAGCACATATAACAATAATTTTTAACAATGATTTAAATAAAACTGTGTTTTTTATAAGTAAATGTTTGAACTACCTTGTACTCCGAACCTAATATATTCTGTTATCGAAATACTAATGAATATAATGTATAATGCAATGTCATAACGCAATTACTATACATAAAATACTAACTATCAACAGTGTTCCCGTTTTTCAACAAACATATTTTTTGCTTTCTACAATCCGCCGCGTCATTATTTTTGTGCACCCATACAAATATTTTTTACAAAGAACTGCAAATAATTGTTCGTTTGATGCATTATATAACATATATAAGCGAAATAAATGAAATAATAGATCTATTCCGGTACGTATAAGTAGTAAAACTGAAGTGAAAAGTTACTTGAATTTTTTTATTTTCTGTTCCCATATCAAAAATATATTAAGATGAGTGAGTTTGACCGAGCAAATTAAAGTAATGTCAAAAAATATCTGATTAGTATTGTACTCGTAATTATAAATAACATTACAAAAAACATTTTTCTAGTCATGGAAGGAAATTTGTTTTGTTTTGTTTTTTTTTTATTGCTACAACTATTTACATTATAAATAACGAGTAGCTTAAATCTGATAAATAAGTAAATTTCTACACAAATTACTTTACATTCTAATTCAATGCTACGTCAGTGACATTTCGCCGTTTTAATCCTCTTTGTTGTCCATACGAGGTTATGATGTTAACAGCTTCTGTGTTAACATGTTGCTGCAACCTCAATTTATGACTTGTTGCTTTCTGCTTTCTTTCTTATTTCTTCAGCGACTGTGGACAACTTTAGATCGCGGTGTATATCGCTGTTCCTAATGTACCATGGTGCTTTTAAAATGTTCCGTAGAACTTGTTCTGGAAACCTTGGATTATTTCTATGTTACTTTGGCTAGCGCTCGCCCATAGTTCAGCGCCATTCAACCATACAGGTTTTAAAATTTTATTGTACAGCAGAATCTTGTTTTGCATAGATAGTGTGAATTTGCAGCCAATCAGCCATTCCATTTTTCGCAACTTCATATCAAGCTCGTCCCGTTTCTTTTTTATGTGTTCTTTCCATCGAAGTTTTGCGTCCAACGTTATACCAAGATATTTTGCAGTATTGGCATATAGTATTTGAGTACCTTGAATCGAAATAGGAAGATACTGTATTTTTTTATTTGTAAAATCCACATGAACAGATTTAGCAGAATTCAGTTTAATACGTCATCTTTTTGTCCAATTGTCTAACGAATTTGTAGCTGTTTGTAATTTGGCTATTGATTCTTCAACGGAGTTAGCAATCGCCAAAATAGCAGTATCATCTGCAAATGTTGCAATTTTACTTTCAGGTGTTATTAGCAAG